TCGTATTCGCCAAATAGTAGAAATTTAACGAATATTCGTATTCGGCGAATACTAATCACGAATATTAAAAAACTAATATTTTTGTACGCAACTCTAATTACTGGCAGACTTGGAAAACGCGCGTCGTCGGCGTGTAAAAAATAAGATGTGTGCATAGACCCTTAGCCGCAACGACAGGGTGTCTCCGGCTCCGGGAGTTCCCCCTATCACTACGAACCCTGGATTGATTCATTCATATTAATTGACAGTCGAACGAAACAGGTCAAGCAAGAGAGTATGCTTTAATTCAATTGTTTTGTGAGGTTGCTGCGAAGTGAAAGAAAGAAGTTGAAGTAAAAATGTCTTCTCGTAAACGAGATCAACGTGACATATAGAAACACTTTGATAAATCATATCGATATCAGATAAAAATAGGTCCTCAATGTCATCTACATATTAAAATTAAAATTTGAAAACTGCTAAAAACAACGAAACTATTATCTTGGGCTTGCCCTAGTTTGGAGAAATAGCTTCGCCACCGCCCGGAGTGTAGTGGTGGATCGTGTCTCACCGATAGTCGTATATCGACGCAAAAATTCACTTCTATTGCGGTTGAACAGTTTCAAACATTGCTCTGAAACATCGACACGTTCTAGTCGATTGTGAGCTCGCGCGGCACCCACTTTGCACATAGCTTTCACATACCCAAATATTAATGAACGATATATAAAACACGTTCTTTGATATCTTTAGTGTCAGCTATACAAATCAACCTCAATTTCATCATCATCTTCATTACAGTCCTTCACAAGTCCAATGGCTGAACATAGGCCTCCCCCAAGTAATGCCACACAGCACGGTCCTGAGCCACCTGCATCCATCGACTTCCTGCATGTCTTACCAGGTCGTCACTCCATCTAGTGGGGGGACGCCCTACATTACGCCTACCGGTACGGGGCTGCCACTCGAGAACCTTTCTTCCCCAACGGTTATCGGTTCTTCGAGCTATATGGCCGGCCCATTGCCACTTCAGCTTACTAATCCGTTGAGCTATTTCGGTCACTCTGGTTTTACTGCGGATATCCTCATTTCTGAATCTATCACGCAGAGAAACTCCGAGCATAGCCCTCTCCATAGCTCGCTGAGCGACCTTGAGCGTCCTCATACGGCCAGCTGTGAAGGACCACATCTCAGATCCGTAAGTCATCACTGGCAACACGCACTGGTTGTACACTTTAGTTTTCAGAGATTGAGGTATACCTGACGAGAAGATGTGTCGTAATTTCCCGAACGCTGTCCAGCCGAGTTGAATCCGTCGATTGACCTCTCGTTCGAAGTTGGATTTACCTAGTCGGACTATTTGTCCCAGGTAAACGTACTCGTCAACAACTTCGAGCATAGTGCTCCCCACAACTACCGGTATAGGTGTGACATGGACATAGAACATAATCTTTGTTTTGTCTATGTTCATCTTAAGACCTATCCGTTGGGAGATACCATTGAGGTCATTGAGCATTGTGCAAAGGTCCTCCAGCGATTCTGCCATAAGGACTATATCGTCGGCAAATCGAAGGTGAGTGATGTACTCGCCATTGATGTTAATACCGTATCTTTTCCAGTCCAGTAACTTGAAAACGTCTTCCAACGCAGCGGTGAAGAGTTTCGGAGATATAACGTCAACCTGTCTTACACCTCTCTGCAGTTGGATAGGTTTCGAACTCTGGTTCTGTACTCGGATAGCCATCGTAGCCCTACTGTACAAACACTTCAGCACTTCGATATACCGACAGTCAACTTGGCACCGCTGAAGGGACTGTAGCACCGCCCAAATTTCGACGGAATCCAAAGGCTTTCTCATAGTTCACATACGCCAGGCAAAGTGGCAGATTGTACTCTTCAATCTTCTGTACAATCTGCCGCAGGGTATGTATGTGGTCTATGGTACTGAAGCTTTTTCGGAAATCGGCTTGTTAGGGAGGCTGGAAGTCGTCGAGTCTGCGTGCGAGACGATTCGTAATGACTCTCGAAAACAGCACGTGGACGCGGCTCAGAAGGTAAATCGGTCTGTAGTTCTTAAGAGAGCGTTCTCGCCTTTCTTAAAGAACAAGACCACCGCACTTCTGCTCCACGCCTCCGGAGTAGTGCCACCATGGAGGTCGGAATTGAGGAGCTTCTGAAGCACTTCAAGTACCGGTGTTCCACCCGCTTTCAGAAGCTCCGCTGTAATTCCATCCTCGCTACTTGCCGTTTTTAAGGTGCTGGAGAGCCATTCTAATCTCGCTCAGACTGACGTTCGGGATATCATCGGAATAGTGTCGGGCAGCCCTGGTTCCAACCATTCGGTGATCGCTGCCGGTTTTCACCCTTGCGATCACTGAGACATCACTGAACAGTTGGCGTCTGGTCGTCATAATGAAGTCAATCTCATTTCTGATTGTCGAACCATCGGGGCTCGACCAGGTCCACTTTCTGTGGGGTCGCTTCTGGAAGAAAAAGTTCATCATAAAGAGTCCCTCTTTCTTCATAAAGTCAGCCAGCTGCTGGCCCCTACGGTTCCGTTGCCCTACTCCAAATTTCCCTAACTTCAGCTCACCGCCTTCTCTTGTGCCTAGTTTTGCGTGTCTCATCAACACCGTGTAGTGGGTTTTGGAGGAATGCATGGCTCTAGAAATATCCTCATACATTTCCTCCACCTCCTCATCGGGATCTGCCGAGGTTGGTGAGTAGAGCAGTATGACCCTCAGCGAATACCGTTTGGTGATTCTGAGTATCAGGTACGCGATCCTCGACGACACACTCCCAATCTTTACAACGTTGTTGACGAGAGACTTGTGGACGATAAATCCGACACCTCCTTGGGACAGATGGTCGCCCTCCCGGTGATAGAACAAGTTGCCGGACTCGAGGATTATCGTGTCCTCAATTTACGATCTTCCAAAACCATTTTTTGGATTTTTTTGATGTTTTCGTCCGTAACAGCCTCTTTTGGACGTCCACTGCGTTCATCGTGTTCGGTAATCATATGGACTTTACGGAATTTAACAAACCACTTAGGAATGGTTGCTCAGCCTGGCGCAGAGTCCGGATGACACTCATCAAGCCACTTTTTGGTATCAGCAGCACTTTTTTTCATCAAAAAATAGTGTTTTATTAACACACGAAATTCCTTTTTATCAATATTTTGAAAATAACAAAAGCGGCTTCAGTGAAAATGCTGTATCTCACAAACTAATAATCAGGCAGCTGTAAAATTTATACACTTATCTTTTGAAGGTTGGTACTAACTAAAAATTATATGAATTTTATCCTAATGGCACCATCTCATCGCCATCACAGAATACCAGCGTCAAATAATAACTTAATGCTACTGTGTTTCGTATGGTGAGTGTAGAGAACCAGCGACCCTTTTTACTGGAAACGAGGCATTCCATCTTAGTCCTTACGGTTGACAACGCATAAGCATTTGATTCGTCGAGGATAGATGTAGATGTCTATGGGCCACAGCAACCACTTACCATCAGGTGGACTGTGTGCTCGTTTGTAACCCTATCTTATAAAAAAATCTCATAGAAACGATACGAACTTTTCAGCCCACTTAATAGTTTATATTTCTTCTAAACTACGTTTAACTTACTTTTTGTGTCAAACATATCGTTTAATACTTTCATAACATTCAATATACAGCTTTATTAAATACAAATTATCGCTAGTTGTCATAGTAAACACTTAATGTTGAGCGCCAATAAATCTGTATTGTGCATTCGAATACATGTTATTAACAAATTACGACCGCATTAACCGCGTGTCGTTTTGTACTCATTATCAAACTTTCAAGAATAATGTAAAATGATAAAACTGATATAATAATAGAGATCTAATACATTAAATCTAATTTGTTTTAAATATAAATAATTGACTTCAATTTTACCTCCAAACGACATCATAAAGTACACTGACTGCCTTCCTAGTTTTTTTTTTAAGTTATCAACCAGTTTGTGCGAGGTTACTTCGTCAATGTATACAAAGTAAGAAACACAGTCATATTCATGGTGAATATAATCAAATAATATGCACGAGAATAACAATCTTAGTACCGTAGCATGAATAACTGTCAAATCTTAATAAATACGTGGAAAAAAATGTTTGTATTTTGTATATGCATGCCAAAGAACCACTACGTTTTATATTACGTTTATGAGTTTAGGTGGAATGTAAAATCTTTATTTCTATTCTCACTCAAATCTGCTTACAGACGTCCAAATTCTCATTTCTCAAATTGCCGCTCTCTATTTTCCTCGCTACCTCATCTTGAGCCATTGTTCCGGGATGACTTGCGCAATTTTAATCTTACGCCTAATTGTTACCGATGATAAAGCACTCGGGGTGCGGTTAACAAGCTGTTAAGTAGACCTATTATTAATCAGTGAACACGAGATAACATGGATCAGGCTGTGTTATAAACGGTTAAGTGTCTGCATTGCTGTAGAAGCTTAAACGCGGTAATCTGATAACACGTAGGAAAAAGCTGCTAATATAATTAAAATCTACATGAAAAGACACAAGCTATTATAATTGTATATGTTTTTTAAACAAGGATGACAGACACAGTCAACATGATAGTACGTGGATGTCGGGTCGTTAGACAACTGCATCTTTCTCCCATTAAGTTATCAATATGCAAGTGTATTGACACAACCCTAAGAATTAAAAAGAAAAGGATCTCCGGTTTCTAAATTTCAGTTATCGAACTTCTACAATATGAAAATTAGATTCTTTGGATTGGAAAAGGAGCATCGCAGCTATTCTCTTTTTTTTATTCTACTACTACTTTACTATACTACTACAGCCAATGACACAACAAATATAGGACATTAAAATGAAGGAAAATTATACTAAATTTCTAAATAACTCCAAATACGAAGTAGTTAAGTCTAATTACTTAAACACCATGGCGGTGACACACTACAACGCGAATCAATGATACTAAACATTGAGAAGAACAATATAAAACGGGTACTCACGGCTCGCGATCAGCTCGGGTGCGACGAGGCCGTTGAGGTCGGGCTCTTCACCGTACCAGAAGATCCAGAGTTCCTTGGCAGCGCGGAGCGAGAGCGGCGGCGGCGCGGGCATGTCGTACAGGTCGGGCGGCTGGTGCGCGGGCACGCGGCGCCACACGCACAGGATATCGCCGGCGAGGCAGCGCGCGTAGCTGCTGATCACCGGGTCAGCCAGCGGCGCTGCGCCCTCCTCGCCCTCGCCGCCGCCACCGCCACCGCCGCCGCTCGACTCCCGCTCCCACACGAGCTTACGCCATTTTATGCCAAACAACTCCGTCTGTGAAACAAAATCACAGCTGAGTGTCACATATTTTTCTTTTAACAGACATTACCTCCACACTAGGTTTCTCTTTTGTTTTATAGAATAAGGGTGATAAACGTGCACACAGTCCACCTGTATGTGATGATAAGTGCATGATGTGGCCCACATAGACACCTACATCTATCCTCAATTAAGAATCAAAATGTAGGTAGATAGTTATTACCACTGAGAACTAAAATGGAATACCACGTTTCAAGTAAAGAGAGTTAAAGAGTCAGTTTCTCTACACTCACCATACAAAATACAACAGCATTAAGCTGCTATTTTACGCTGATATTCTGTGAGGGCGTGGTTCTTCTCTGATAGAGCCGACCCATTAGTGCTACAACTATAGGTGCAGCGCGTATGAATTTCTACTGTTACATAGAGGATTTACATGCATAAAGTGCATGAGGAAAAGCAGCCACACCTGGAACAATTATTTTCAGGACATACAAATATGTATGTGCAGATGACAATTCCTCGAATGTGAACGATCAACGTGAATCAAGTGTCCACTAGACCACATGCTTAATATTGTTACCTAGCCGTATATTATTCGCCAAACTAGGAAATAAAATCACGAACGACAATACAGTCGACTTAAGCACTACCTGTGGATCCTGAATGTAAAAATAAGATAGGTACATTGTACTAAGATCTTTTTAAACATGTTGACAGCAATAGGATCTTTGGTCCTAATTGAAATTATAAGAAAGGATTTTTTGTACTGTCGTTAGCAACGTTTTCATTTCGCCAGCTTTCACCTGTGCTCATCAACCCAGTGGAAACTATGACCAAATAATTATTTATTAAATATAGATACTTTTATTATGATGCTGTATTATTACAATTTTATCGAAAGTATGCAAATATTTAAGTATTCACAGCTATTTTTTACAATATATTGATTTGAGGTGTATTCTATGGAAGAGGACGGACAGACGGAATTCCAAGCTTCTTGGGTAGTAAGAGTTTAAAATAATCAGAGATCGAATGGTAGGTTTTCAGCGAAAATTACGTTTAAAAAATTAATCTGAACTAAAGTTAAGCTACATCATGACAGTACAGATGCAGTGCAATGGCATAAAGCGCATCGATGACAACAAATCCACGCGGAAACCTCGAGGTCGCTCTAAAACCGTATTTGGCGCGATTCCAGAAGTGCAAAGGTGCTAGAGAAGAGGACTACACGGACATGGCGCCTGGAAAATACCGTGGAAGTTTTACACTGTGAGGAAACTTTTAATCACGTACACTGTATGATATTACGTTCCTGGATTTAATGAATGGGCAATATGATTTGATGTTTGCCTGTGTGCACTTTCTGTACGTAAATCACCTCTCAAAGTAAGAAAAGAAACTGATATTTTTTATAGAAATGGTGACAAACAAAACAACGGGCATACAATCTACGTGATGTTATGTGGAATCAGTATCTATACTAGATTTGGATAAAATGGAGATAAGTTGTTACGTGTTAGAATCACGCTGCAACTAGGTATATTATAGTTGTAGCACGAATGGGTCGGCCTCGGCCGGGGCAGGACTACGCTCTCACAGAATACCAGTGTAAAATAGTAGCTCAATGCTACTGTGTTTCATATGGTGAGTGTAGAGAACCGGAGACCGTATTTACTGGAAACGAGGCATTCTATCCTCACGGGTGACAACGCATCTGCATTTTGATTCGTAATCGATGATAAATGTAGATGTCTATGGGCCACATCATCCACTTACCATCAGGTGGAATGTGTGCTCCCTTGTCACCCTATTCAATAAAAAGTCACCCCTGAAGACTATGAAGGAACGCCTGTTTGCCATACATTAAGAAATAATTAAGTTTGTTTTTAAGAATAACCAATAATTATTTACTAAAGACCAGCGGTGAGCTACAGCCCTCTTTGCTAAGCTTAAATTAAATTAAACTTTATAATTAAAATTTATAAAAATTATTTAAAGTATTTTCCTATTCTGCGATATTTATGTAGTTCGTTGAAAAAAAATCCACACGTACATTTTTGACATTTATAATATTCAAGTAATTGTTGTAACCTTTCCCTAACACCCTGGCAGAATTCTAGCCCATACCGAGGCGAGCAGATAGGAAGACAGATGTTGCGACGACCTTCAGTATGCAGATATAATCAACGGGTCACGATCGAACCCACGATCCCTTGTCTAGGCATACTAAATACAGCTCTCGATGAATCTTTACAAATTCATTCGCGCGCTCATTCATAAAAAACATAAGAAAGTGCACAAGCGCAGTTTTAGAGTAACTTTATTGCTACACCTTGGTACTACATTGAATTGTCAAGATTTATTCAGGATCATAAAAGAAAAATACGAATTCAAATGTTTAAAAAGGAAAAGTAACACTCGGAAAGTTTAAAAAACTACGCATAATATTAATATTTTACGAGTAGGTGATTTACTTACTTCGCGTAATCTGTAGACGTAACGTAATTTTTTGTTGTGACATGTATAGAGAGAGACGTTACAAAAAATTACGAAGAAAAAATATTAAGCCTGTGAATGTCTAATATTTAAAGGCCAGTTTTTTTTATTAAATAAACTGCAAAACAATGGTAAGGCAAGGATAAATTTATTTATTTAATTTTTGAGCATTTTGTGAATAAATAGGTATATTAGTACTTAACTTACTATAAAGTTTAAAAAAAAATGGTAGTGGTGTCGATCTGCAATATGAAGACGGCCAAATCTTCGAATTAATTTCGCGACAGACAACTTAAGGTCATGTGACTCCCGCCACTGGATATCAAATGGCCTGCTGTTACAGGGTCAACGGTCTTGTACCCGCGACGTGAACATCTGCGGAGGAAGAGGGTTCTTTTCACGCACCTGGCAGACGCTGCGCGCGTGGGGCCGCATCGACCCGACGCGATAAGGGGACGAGTTCGATTTGGAACGGGTTTAGTGGTAACATTGAAACGGGGGTTATTGGTCGTAATGAGCCACGTTTAGTGCTCACCCGACGCGGTAACACTTAATATTTCATTACTGATATTGTCGATTTGATTCTTAACGGCTACCGTTACTTTGCATCATTACTGGCCTTTTACAAACTATTTTAGCGCTGTTTTGATTTATGTTTACTTAACACTTTGATAACTGCGCCGTTAAATTTTCTGTATAAATAATAATAAGTGTATTATATGTGATGTGTTAAATGTTTTATATCTAGACAAACAGTCTACTTTTAAAAATTGATTCAAAGTATAACATTTTAAATAGTAAAACCTAGTTATTTTAGAAATTGTCTTCAATAAAGGGCACGTCATGTACAAAGATGTCAATAAACTTGCGACACATCAACTTTCAACCTTCAAGAATCGCACATTCGCACATAACGCATACGCCATACACATTGAAGCAATGTAGATTAGTTCTCCGATAGAATGTATGGTTTCTGTTATGTTGTATTTGCAAATGGCTCTGAAAGCAGAATTCAACATTATATCCTTTGCATTAGTAAATATTTTTCCCCGTCATCAGCCTGGGTATCTTCCATGTATCCGAGGCTCGAACGACAAAAGTTCCGGCCCATTTGTTTCAGCCACACGGCTGGCTACATGTGAAAGAATGTGGCGGGCGTTTGGCCGGCGCGGCGCGGCACGGAGCGGCGTAGCCGCTTTCTAGCACTGATGCGCCCGCGTGTGCCCCGCTTCACTTTCTATTGTATGACGTGAACGCGTCACCATACAAAATGATTTCATCTACTTTAAGATTTTTGTAATAGTATTATTGATTTACTGTAAGATCCTTAACGGATGTATCAAAGCAGCCGATATCGTTACGATTAAAAGAATGAAAGAGTGATGTTTTAATATTGCTCAGAAAAAAGTTTACAGTAATAGCATGGGATTATTGGCTGAAGGTGTTGCTGTAAATGTCCTTGGGTCGCTGGCACAGCCATTCAACCGGCCTCCACTTTTATCGCATAAGCGTTACAACCGGTAATACTAGATTAGGACGATTGAATGATTCTGTATTAACGCACTGGCACTGTTTCCTGAGCCGTGGTAGCTCAGTGGTTAACGCTCGCTGTAAATATAACAGAACGCGAGTAACCCGGGTTCGATCCCCGCCGGCACCAATGAAATTGTTAATTGCAATTTTAAGTGCTGATTTACCACGTGCTCGCCGGTGAAGGAAAACATTGTGAGGAAACCTGCATGTCTGAGGAATAAGAAAAAAATATTTCGAAGACATGTGAAGTTCGTCAACACGCATTTGGGCAGCGCGGCGGACACTTCCTTGCCCTAAACCCTCTCAGAAATGAGGGGAGGCCTGAGCCCAGCAGTGGGACGTATATAGGCTGTAACTTTACTTTAATTTACTGTTTCCTGGACAGTTCGCTGCTTCCAACCCAAATATCCGCAAATTGTCGCTGGGATCTAGTCCTAATAAACGCATACGTATGTATATTAAAAATGTATATTAAAACGTACAAATTGGAGCCAGCTTAGTTAAATCATATAAGACTCATGATTAATCATAAAAGACTTTGACTTGGATTTACCAAGTTGGTAAATCCAAGTCAAAGTCCAGTATTTCACACAAATGGAGAAGGATATTATTTGATCAAAATTATTAAGCTTAATTTCAAGAAAATAAATAGGTTCATATAAGAATTAAAGCATGCTTTAAAACAACTAAATGTAATATTTTTAATTGACATAATTTTTTAAAAGTTGCCTTAGGCCTGGTTTACATTTCGATAAGTGAAAATTGGGAGTGGCAAGTGCAACTGACAAATGACAAGTGCTTAGTGTGTGTGAACAGGCAGTGACAAGTGATAAGTGGGAACAAAATACGCACTAACCACTTGTGTTTTGTCGTCAGTTGCACTTGCCACTCGCACTTGTCACTTCTCAAAATGAAAACCGTGCCATAATTTTTTACGAGAAAAAGTCACACAAAAGTACGTTGTTTGATATTGATAAAATCAC